GGGTGTTTCCATCTTTGGGCAATTACGGACGATGCTTCTCTGATCATCTGTATACAGGTTTTGAATGAACATAAATTTTTATTTGTCTGTAATGAATATCTAGGAGGAGAATTTCTGGGTCATATTTTAAGTGTATGTTGAATTCTATAAGAAAGTGACAAACCCTTTTCCAGAATGATTGCACCGTTTTGCATTCCTACCAGCAATATAGGAGAGCTCCAGTTGGCCTATAGCCTTACCAGCAACAATGTCAGATTTTAAAATTGTAGACATTAAAACCATTGTGGTTTTAACTTGCTTTTCCCTAATAACTAGTGAGGTTGTGTATCTTTTCATGTGCTTATTTGAGATCTGTATGCCTTTTTTTCCGTCCAAATATTTTGTCATTTTTTTTTTACTGAGTTTTTTTTATATTGTTCAGTTTTGAGATTGATGTTTGTGTTGCTCTGGTATCCTACAACCTTGCTGAAATCATTCATTGATTCTGAGAGTTTGGATGGGTTTAGTTAGTTTTTTGTTTTTTAGGTTTCTTGGGATTTCCTACATAGACAATCGTGTCATCTGCAATAGGAACAGTTTTATTTCCTCCTTTACAATTTGTATTTCTATTTCTTTTCATGACCTATTGCAGTCATAAAATTTCTAGTACTGTATTGAATAAGAGTGCTGAGAGTGGACATCTTTGTTTTGTTCTTAGTCTTAGAGGAAAAATATATAGTTTCTGGCCATTAAGTATGACGGTAGTTGTAGTGTTCTTTTGTAGATGTCCTTTGTCAATTTGAGGTAGTTTCCCTATCCTGACTTGCCAAGAGTTTTTATCATCAATGGATGTTGGATTTTGTCAAATGCTTTTTCTGCATAAATTTGTATGATCACATGATTTTTCTTCTTTAGCCTGTGGATATGATCGATAACATTAATGGATTTTCAAATGTTGAACTAGCCTTTCATATCTAGAATAAATCCTACTTGGTTGTGGGGTCTAATTCTTTTTATACATTATTGGATTGGATTTGCTAATGTTTTGTCAAGGATTTTTTGGCAGAAGCTCACAAGAGATATTATTTTCTTTTTCTTTTTGTCTTTGGTTTGTATCTGGGTAATACAGGCCCCCCAAAATGGGTTGGGAAGTGTTCTTTCCTTTTCTCTTTCTTGGAAAAGCTTGTGTAAAATTGGTGTTAATTCTTCCTTAAGTGTTTAATGGAATTCTCAAGAGAAACCATCTTGGCCTGGAGATTTACTTTACCAGAGCTTTTAAATTATTAATTAAACTTCTTTAATGGTTATAGGGCTATTCAGATTGCCTGTTTCAACTTGGTTTTCTTTTGGCAGTTTCTTATTTTTGAGGAACTTGTTCATTTATTGAAAGTTTCAAATTTAGGAATGTAAAATTGTTCGTATCATGCTCTTATCATCTTTTAAATAGCTACAGCATCTGTACTGATGTCTCCTGTTTCATTCCTGATATTTATGATTTGTTTCTTCTTTTGTATTTTTTCAGCTTGCTCAGATTTATTAATGATATTTTTTTTGAAGGATCATATTTTTGTTTCCTAGATTTTCTCTGTTGTTTTTCTATTTTCACTTTGATTTCTGCTCTTGTCTTTATTGTTTCCTTCTTTCTGCTTGCTTTGGGCATATTATTCTGTGTTCTTGAGGTCAGAACTTAGATTATTGATTTGAGAACTTTCTTCATTTCTAATCTAAGTATTTAGTGCTATAAATTTCCCTCTCAGCATTGCTTAAGATATGTTGTAATCTATGATGTGTTGATAAGTTTTTTTTGATATTTTGGTATCTTGTGTTTTTAGTTTTTTTTTTAGTTTTATGTATTTAAAAAATTTCTTTAGAGAGTTCCTCTTTCACCTATGGATTGTTTAGAAGTGTGTTGTTTAACCTCGAAGTGTTTACAGATTTTCCTGTTGTCTTTGTTTTTGATTTCTAATTTTATCCCATTATGTTTAGAGAACGTACTATGTAAGATTTCAATTCTTTTAAACATGTGGAGGTTTGTTTTATGGATATGGTCTATCTTCGTGAATGGTCCAGGTATACGTGAAAAAAAAGTGTATTCTGCTGTTGTTGGATGGATCGTTCTGTGTGTGTCAATTAAATCCTTTTGGTTGATTGTGTTGCTCAGATCTTCTGTATCTGTCCTGATTTTCTGAGCAGCAGGTCTGTGAGTTTCTCAGAGATGCTGAAGGCCCCAACTCTAATTTTGGATTTCCATGGTTCTCCTTCGGCTCCATCAGTTTCTGCTTTGTGTGTTTTGAGGCTTATTGTTTGGTGTCTACACGAATAGGATTGTTATGTTTTCCACTTGAATTGATTGTTTTATCATTTTATAATGTCGCTCTTTGCTTCTAGTAATTTCTCTTGTTCTAAAGTTTCCTTTATCAGATATGAATATAGCTACACCTAATTTTTAAAATTAATGTTTGCACTCTATATCTTTTTCCATCATTTCACTTTCAACCTACCTCTGTCATTGAATTTGAAGTGAGGTTTTTTGTTGTTGTTGTTGTTGTTGTTTTTTTGCCAAAGAAGATTTGCCCTGAGCCAACATTTGCTGCCAATCTTCCTCTTTTTTTTGTTTGTGAGCCGCCACCACAGCATGGCCACTGACAGACAAGTGGTGTAGCTTCATGCCTGGGAACCGAACCCGGGCTGCTGAAGTGGAGTGTGTTGAACTTAACCACCAGGCCATGGGGTTGGCTCTGAAGTGAGATTTTTGTAAACAGCATATAGTTGGGTCTTTTTTTGTTTTTATTTTTGTTTTAAATCCACTCTGCGAATCTCTGTCATGCTTGGGACATTTAGATGATTTACATTAAGGCAATTATTGATATGTTGGGGATTAAATCTGCATTTTATTATTTGTTTTATGTTTATGTCTTGTGGTTCTGGTACCAAAAGTTCGGTCTCTGATCTCGATGTCAATCCAAATACTGAGAACAGAGTCTTGAGTGAAAAAGGAAAAGTTTCCCTTTGCCAGGCAGAGGGAGCAAAGCAAGGGCTAGTGCCTCAAAAATTGCTAGCTCCCTGTTAAGAAACCGATAGGGGTTTCTTATTTGGGTTTTAGGTAGGGGAGGGGGACCGTCAGCATTTTCCCCTCGGCCTGTGTCTGGGGCTGCTTCCAGTGGAGGAGACAAAGGGTTTCTCAGATGAGCATCCTTGGCTGTGTATCTCCATGGTGGAAGGTAGACTCTGACGTCAGGAAACCAAGAAGCTGGGGCCTGGGAAGCTTTGGTTTCTTGATATTCTCTGGATATTAGTTTCTCTGTAAAAGAACTTCAAGGTCCTGGGATTAGCCATTACTTTAGTGGGAGCCCAGCTTGAGACCATCTGGCTTTAATAATTTGTAACTTCTACTTGGTTGTACAGCTCAGGGAGTCAGAGGTTAAAGAAACAAGTGTTTACCTATGAGTGTAACTAAAGACCCAGGGAACTGAGATTGTGTACCTTTAGTTTTAATCCATATATGCTGGGTTCACTGTAGGGGAACCAACATCAGGGCTGACATTAACTAAGCCGGTAACAGTTCTTGTTCCTCTGTTTCTCTTTTCTTGCCTTCTTATAGGTTATTGGAACACTTTTTAGTGTTCTATCTTGATGTATTTATTATGTTTAAGAGTGGATCTATTGGTACAGTTTTCATAGTGGCTTCTCTGGGCATTACAATACACATGTGTGTCTTATCAAAGTCTGCTGGCATCGACATCTCACCCTCCGAGTGAGGTGTTGCCGCCCTGGTGATTGCAGCCTCCGTCCCGCCCGTGGCGTGTGTGATGAGGGCCTCTCCCGCCTCCTCCGGAACCCTCCACGATGATGCCTTTGGCCCTGCAGATTCGCCTGCTCATTCCTTCTCTCCACACCATCTTCCAGGAATGTGTGGGACTTTCTCATTCATTAACAGCTCTCCTCTCCTTTTGCTTCCGCCTTAGAGGTCTTTCCATTTTAAATGTATGAGCTGAAATTTCAGCGATGTTTTCAGAACAGGAGGGGAAAGAACAGAGGAATGGAAAATTCGAAGGGCCCTTTAAAAGCATAGAGTGAGAAGAGCCTGGACTTGCTTGGGGCAGACCTAGTGATTTGTGAGTTAGCGCTGCTCACTCACTCGCCGGGGGGCCTGGGTGAGCATGTGACCCCTCGGAGCCCCAGCATCCTCCCGGGAAGCACACAGTGTGGCTGCGGGCGGGACAAGTGAGACGGCATGAGTGAGGAGTCTGGGTCAGTGCCTGGCAGAGAGCAGGTGCCCAGTGAATGGCTCCTGTTACCTGTACGTCTGCACCAAAGTCCAAAGCTGAGTGCCGGGAGGGCATGGCACATCCCTGTGGGGCAACCACTCTGGCCTGTCACTAGCAACTCCTGAAACGAGTCTGACTAAGCCACCTTTGACACTGAGGAATGTCCTGGAAAAAGAGGCGTGTCCCCGAGGGAGGGGACAGGTTCCTGTCGGCTGACCTGAGAGTAAGCGAGTGGGTCAAGACATTTTAAGAAAGTCACAGGCCACCACACTCTATCTTTTGGAGGCTCCACCCACCCCATTTCAAACAATAAAACTGTCACATCCGACATCATTAAATGTGGTTTATATATAACTCTGTAGGTTATATGTAACTACTATAAAACAGAAAGTTCACTAGTTGACACAATGTCACGTATCACAGGCATTTAAATAATTACGTATGTAATTAAAATGACTGCATATCGTAAGGCATTTTATTAAGACCACACTTTGCAGTTTTATTTGAGTATCTCAGAGTCCCTAATGGTTTCTCGTGTCTCAAACATTTTACAGGCCCTGGAAAAACCAAATGCATTCTGGGCCCATAATGGATGAAACAGCCCTGGCGGTATTTTCTGGAGGACTATGGGGGCCAGGCTGGCTGAGGGAGGTGTCAGCTGGGATGCCTGCCACCCCAGAGGCAGGGCATTGTGACACAATGGTCAGCTTGCTGAGCACACCAGCAGCAGGACTGATCCCACACAACCCGCAGCAAGTGGCCAGTGAGTAGAGAACAGCAGAGAAGCCATGTGGGGAAGCAGCAGGGGGAAATGCTGGCTCTGTGGCCTTCTGGCTGCGTGACTTCAGTCAAGTTACTTACCCACTCTGATCCTCAAATGCTCTAAGGTGCTTTTACCTCTAGAAGCTCTAGGACCAGAATGGCCATGAGGTTCTGGTTTGTTGGTTGCTGCCCTTTATTTAACTACTTTTCTCTGATAGACGTGGTTGGGTTTGCTTAAAGTGGAGTGTCTCTGTGCACTCCCCTCACCCAGACTTGAGGCTCCAAGCAAGCCCACGTGCGGAAGGCATGGAGGAGCTTGTGCTGGGATTGTCCTTGTCTCATTGGCCAGGGGAAGGGGAGGGAGATAAGGTGCTGAGTTACGGAGAGTGAGCATCACAGTCCTTTCCTTAGATTCGCGACCTGCCCAGGCTCTGCACCTCCTATGTTGCTAAGGCCTCCCGCCTCCTGGCTGGCCCCACACGTGTTCTCCATGCTGATGGCAGTGAGTGACAGTGAGGCGTTCCTTGGGTGAATAGAAAACCAAGGCCACCTGGAGCCCGCCCCACATCCTGCTCTGGGGCCTGAAGAGCGCGGGCACCCTCAGCCAGCGCTGCGTGAGACCGGCAGGGGCAGCAGAGGTGGGCAGGGAGCTCCCGCCTGCATTTGTTCCAGGCTGGCCCAGTTGGGGGTCGGGAGAGAGGGGGTGGGAGGGCCGTGCCCAAGAAGGCTGGACCCTGACTGGGAGCATGCCCAGGCGGCCAGCGCTCACCCAGGCGGAAGGCCAGGATGGCACGAGAGCCACGAGCCAGAGTCCAATCCAAGGTCACAGGGCGGCCCTGGCCTGGGCGCCACTCCCAGCAGGGGTGGGTCTGAGCCAGGGGTTATTTCTCTTCTGAAAGTGAGGTCTGCGTATGGGGTCAGGATGTGGGCGGGGACAAGAATATCAGTATCATTCTTGCTGTTTTGTTATTGCTAGGATTGGAAAGACTCATTGAACTTCACCTGGTGGGCGTTGAAGATTAAACCCGAACCACAGGCAAAGCCCCTCTCTACGAGGCTCACGTTCTAGGGGGAAGCAGGTACCACGTCCCCCTAACAGACAGTGAGTGCACGATGTAGTAACTTCCCTGCCGAGAATAACCAAGGGATGGAGAGAAAATGATGGTGGTAGGAGTGGGTTAGACTTTAGGAAAGAAATGAGGAGTGGTCTCTGCGAAGGAGCGAGGAGGAGGAAGCTGAGGCCCTGAGGAGGGAAATTGCTTACCCAAGGCCACCTGCTGGTCATGGCAGGGCTGGTGGGCTGTCTGTCTTCACTTTGCCCTCTTCATCATGCCAACCTCCGTGGACCAGGGTCTGAGCCAGGGCAGAAATCATGGCGCTGGGGGGGTGTGGGCTCAGTGGAGGAGTAAGGGGAACCATGCAGCCACAGTCTGAACCTCCTGGGCTCAGCCTTCAAAGGGATGGCTCAGAGTCCAGCGTCCTGTCCCCCTCCCACCACCCTGGCCTTTTCCTGGCTCTGCTCTATGGGCTCAGGAGTGAGACCTGCCCTCATCATTACAAAATGATGACTGAGGAGAAGTCAGAGTTTAAACCAGAACTTGAAGAACACCACCCCTTATTTTATGACAGAGAAAACAGGTCCAGAGAAGGCGAGTGATTTGCCTGAGGTCACACAGTTGACCTGGAGTAGTCTCTCAAGGAGTCCCCAATGCTTTTTCCACTGCTGTGGTTATATTCCCTCCCAGGGAATTTACAGGGACCCAAAGGAATGCATCACTAATGGTGTAATTTCATGGAAGGTGGGAGTGAGGGATGTGCATGGCATGGACCCAGCCTACTAATGGCGTAAAGTGAAACCAGCACATGCATGGCACGTGGTAAGCCCTCCGTGAGCAGTTGCTCCTCTCCCCTTCCGTCGCCTGGTTTGGGACATGACGTCTGAGTTCAGGACATTCTAACAAGTTTGCGAATTGACTACATGAATGCTGAAGTGTGGGGATGTGCTCCTTCCTGCTTTCCCATCCTCAAAGAACACTCTTTATACACCCAGTTCGGGGGAAGCTCCGGGGGGAATCAACTTTCACCTCTTCACCCTGATTATATGATCCCGCGTGTATAGGTGCACACGTGTGTGGTGTGCACACACACACAGACTCACACACACCCACACCCGCCTTCTCAAATTTTTGGAGCTAGTGAGGAACGTAGCCAGGCCTAAGATAACATTTGCTGGCCTGTTTTTTCTCGTGTTTTAGCAGAAGAAAAGCATCGCTCCAAGCCCGCAGCTGCAGACGTCTCCCTGAGGAGCGTCCAGTCTTTCATCACGCTGCGGAGGACAGGATGATCCATGGCTCAGGAATCTGCTTAGTCAATAACTCAATTCTGCAGCTGGGCCACATTTGTAAGCAGTGATAGCACACCCCATGGGAACCCAGAATCCAATTAGGGCTACGGGCTGCATCATTTCTCATCCCTCGCTCCGCCTTCCACAGTCCCCGGCCATCCATCTTTCTTGGCTGAAGACTCCCCGAGGTCTGCGGGGGAAACTTCGGACCCTCCTATTGGGGGCCTGAGCTGCCCTCTGATCCTCGCTGCAGCCACCGGTATTGGAATCAAAGCCTGAGGAGACAGGTTTTTCTTGGTCCATGGGACTGGGGCACTCAGGATAATTCCAGGCTTTCAGCAAACAGAGACATTTCCTTACCTCAAGCCCACTTAGTCTTGGAGGTCCCGGGTCTTTTCAAACTCACCCATCGCCAGGATGATGCCCTGGTCCATTGGTGTGAGGTTGCGTGAATTGCTTATGGGCAGCAGGTGTTGAAAGAGAGCTTGTTAGAAAATCAGACATGAGGATGTTCACAATAGGGAAAGCAGACCCCAAAGAGGTTTAATTAGCTTCTTTCGCTCAAAAATGCAAATGTGCTATTCGATAAGGGCTACCTGGCTTGGCATTAGGCCATAAGACCAGAAGTTTCTGGATATTTTTGAGATTCATGCTCACTTCCCCAATTCTAGGACTATTGAGGATTTTTTTTTTCCTGGAAATTTCTGATGGGCTAGATTTGTTCCACGGGTTCGGCCTACTGGTTTTATGAGGACCTCATTTGTTCTACAACATTTTTTTCCAGAGTTCAGCCCCTTTACTTTATGAACTAGGTTAGATAAGGGACAGCAGATATCTTTCAACTTGCAGGTCAACTCCAATAGATTTGGTGGTGGCTGCTTTAAAAACTGGGTCTAGAAGCATTCAGAGTCCTAACTGGGCATAGAAGGGAAGAATGCCATGTGCATTTAGCAAAGCCCTCTGTGCCTGCCAGAGGGTGAGAGGCGGCAGGTGTGCCACATGATTTGTTATCATTGCACTGAACCATCCTAAGCTCTGAGAGGAACCCTGTTAAATAAGACAAGCAGATCTGGCCCTTAAGTTGGTCTCAGTGTAGCAGGGACGATGAGCTGGCAGGTGCTCCCAGGTCACTGATGATGCCCTGGTGGAGGCAGATGCAAGCATGAGTGTGCCATACTGTCTGAGCACATGGAATTTGAAGCTGTTCATTTCTCCGCATAAATCCTGCTTCTGAGACTTACCTGCTGGGTGGCAGGGGACTAGTCATTTTAAATGCCCCGAGCCACAGTATCTTCATCTGTAAAATGAATATCTATCTCACAAGGTGGTGGTGGTCATTAAATGACATCAGATTTGGAAGCATTAGATGCTTACCTTTTAGTAAGGATTACCAGAATAAGTACCGTTGATGTGGAAACACAAATAGGCCTCCAAACTTTGTCTTGGGTACAGAGAAGCCTCCACAGGGAGGTTCTGTTTTGTATTGCAAGTGGTACCCAGGCAGCATTCAGTAGAAGAAGACAGAGGCCACTCAACACAGGGGAGGACATTCTGTCCCCTTGGTTAGGGAAACCTGAACTATGGAATAAAAATATATATATGTTAGGGTCAAAATTCAAAACAACTCTCCTGAAATAAAGAAAGACTTGAATTTACTGACTGAAAGGTAAATTGATACAGAGTGGTCAATGCTGAGACAGATCCTCATAGATGAATGTTTGACTTCAAAGAGAAAATTCTAATGGTTTCCAGTGAAAAACCCTTCCTCCAAAAACCAGGTTTAAAAAAAATACAAAGAATCACTCAGAAACTCAAACCAAGAGCAGGACTTCCAGAATGGCGGAATAGGAACCTCTGAAGATATGCTACTCCATGGAAGCAAGAGAATATTGTCAAAAATTGTCACAATCAACTTTTTCAGAGCTCTGGAAATTTACTGAAGGCTTTAAACAATCTGAATGTCATTTATTCAGGAAAAAATGGCTAAATCATGGTTGGAATAGCAAGTTTTGTAGTGTTTTAACTTGCCTTATTCCATCCTTCTCTCCAGCTCCATGGTTGACTTGAAAACTAAAGGTCTTACAACCATGGTAGCTGTGAAAACCAGCAGCCTGGCAGCCAGTGGAAAGGAGAGAAAGAGTTTGGACCTTTCCAAAAAAACCCCTCCACAGAGAATTGTCACTATTTGATCTGATGGCTTCCTGGAAAAGCTCTCTTCTTAGGGATTATCTTTAGACATGGTTCAGAGCTTACACTGTGCCAACAGCCCTATTCTGAGGGCATTTGTCAAAAACAATCAGCAGCCTGGGATGGCAATACTAGTTAACAGGAAGCTGATCAAAGCACTTAAAAGGAAAAACTGGGGAATGAAATATTCATAGGGGTTTGGAAAAGCTCTGGCATATTCCTGGAATTCTAGATGGCCACATGCATGTGCTGGGTTGTACACACGCCCAAGAAAGACTTGCAGAGGGCTTAACCTCTGATTGACCTTGAGGCTCTGAGCAAGCAAGAAGCAAAAATTGAGGCAAAGTCGTAAGTTGCTGCTGGAGGATTGAAGACATACCCCAACGCACACAAAGTTTCATAGCAAAGGTGGAGAGACTAAGTGGTTCAAACATTAAAGGAAATCTCTGTCCAGTCATTAGCTGACCACTGAACTAGCCAAGGAGAGACATTAGAGGCACACATGGCAAAGAATGCAGACTTCAGGAAAGTCACTAAACAAACAGAAACAGCAGTAGCAGCAATAACAAAAATGAAAAGCGCAGCAGCAGCAACAATAACGACAACAGCCTTGGAAGAAGTTTGATTTTCAGAGTTGATTGATTTCCAGAGTTGATTGATTTCCAGAGTTGCCATATTGTATTATTTAAAATGTCCAGTTTTCAAGAAAAAATTATGAGAGGTGCAAATAAATAGAAATGTATGATCTATTCACAGGAAAAAAGTGGTCAATAGAAACTGTCACTGAGGAAGACTAGTGCGGGACTTGCCATTAAAGACTTTAGGTCAGCTGTTCTAAACGTGTCCACAGATCTAAAGGAAGCCATAGCTAAAGAATGAAAGGAAAGGAGGATGATGTCTCATCAAATAGAAATATAATGAAGAGGCAGAAATTATAAACAAGAGCCAAACAGAAATTCTGGAGTTGAAAAGTACAATAACTGAAATAAAAAATTCACTAGAGAGACTCAACAACAGATTTTAGAGATTTTATAGCCTGAGGAACAGAAAGAAGAAAAATGAATAGGGCCTCAGAGACCTGTGTTGCATCATCAAACATACCAACATATGCATAATGGGAGTTCTAGAAGGAGAGGAGAGATAGACAAAGGCAGAGCAAATATTTGAAGAAATAATTGCCATTAGGTTCCCAAATTTGATGAGAAACATTAATCCACACACATTGTCTAAGTTGGATAAACCCTAAGAGATCCACGTCTGGATCAGAGTCAAACTGTCAAAAGACAAACACAAAGAGAACCTTCAAAGTAGCAAGAGAAAAACAACGCACCACTCACAAACAATCCTCAATAAGATTAGCAGCTGACTTCTCATTAGGAACCATGAAGGGGAAGGCAGTGGGATGGCACATACTCAAGGTGCTGAAAGAAAGCCTGTCAACCAAGAACTCTATATCTAGCAAAACCACCCTTGAAAAAGCACAGAAGAAATTTCCAGATAAACAAAAAGTGAGAGAATTCACCACTAACAGACCTTACCTACAAAAAGTACCAAAGGGAGTCTTTCAGGCTGCATTGAAAGGACATTAGGCAGTAACTCGAATCCACGCAAAGAAATAAAGAGCACTGTAAAGATAATTACACAGGTAAATATAAAAGAGAGTAGGAACTGGCCCAGTGGTGCAGCAGTTGAGTTCCCACATTCTGCTTCCGTGGCCCGGGGTTCACTGGTTCGGATCCCAGGTGTGGACCTATGCACTGCTTGTCAAGACATGCTGTGACACCATCCCACATATAAAGTAGAGGAAGATGGGCACAGATGTTAGCTCAGGGCCAGTCTTCCTCAGCAAAAAGAGGAGGATTGGTGGTAGATTTTAGCTCAGGGCTAGTCTTCCTCAAAAATAAAAGAAAGAAAAAATATATAAAAGTGAGTATAATGAATCTTTGTAATTTTTTTCTTACCCTATCTGCTTTAAAAGACAACTGCATAAGTGAGGAATTATAAAACTGTGTCGATGGGCTTATAATGTATAAAGATGTAATTTGTGTGACAATAATGTACCTAAACATTGGTTAACATAAGAAAATTAATCAAAGTATGTACTATTATTAATACAAGGAATGGCAAAATCACATAATCTTAAGAGATGCAGAAAAAGCATTTGACAAAATCCAACACCCTTTCATGATAAAAACACTCAAGAAACTAGAAATAGAGGAGAACTTCTGAAACCTGATAAAGGACATCTACAAAAAACCACATCTAACATCATCACACTTACTGGTGAAAGACTAAATGGCTTCCTCCTAAGACCAGGAAGAAGGCAAGGAAGTCTGCCCTGACCGCTCTATTCAATACCGGATTAGAGTCTAAGATAGGGCAGTTATGCAAATAAATAAGTAAGGAAATAAATAAAAATAATTCACATCCAGATTGAAGAGAAAGAAGTAAAACTGTATTCACAGATGACATGCTCTAAGGAATTCACAAAATAACTATTAGAACTAATAAATGAGGTCAGAAAGTTTGCAGATACAAAATCAGTATAAAAAATTTCATCGTGTTTATATACGCTAGCAATGAACAACCCAAAAAACAAAATTAAGCAAACAATTTTTTCTTCAATAGCATCAGAAAAAATAAAATACTTAGGAATAAGTTTAATGAAAGAGGGGCAAGACTTGTACACTGAAAACCATAAGACATCATTAAAAGAAATTAAAGAAGATCAAAATAAATAGAAAGACATCCCATATTCATGGATTTGGAAGATTTAATATTGTTAAGATCGCAATACTTCCCAATTGGTCTACAGATTCAATGTAATTCCAATCAAAATCTCACCTGCTTTTTTCTCAGAAATGTACAAGCCAATGTTAAAATTCATATGAAAATGCAAGGGACTCAGAATAGACAATCCAATCTTGAAAGAGAAGAATAACATTAGGGCACCCACACTTGCCAATTTCAAAACTTACTGCAAAGCGATAATAATCAAGACAGTGTGGTACTGGAAATGGAACAGAATTGAGAATCCAGAAATAAACCTTCACGTTTATAGTTAATAGATTTTTGACAAGGGTGCCAAGACAATTTAGTGGGGTAAAAAAAATGTCTTCAACAAATGATGCTGGGACAGCTGGATTTCCACATGCAAAAAAATGAAGTTGGACCCTTACCTCACACACTATATAAAAGTTAAATGGATCAAAGTTCTAAACGTAAGAGCTAAAACTATAAAACCATTAGAAGAAATCAAAGGGGTAAATCTTCATGACCGTGGGGACTTGGCAAACATTTAACATCAAACGCAAGAGCAACAAAACAAAAACTAAACACTGGATATCACCAAAATTAAAAACTTCTGTTCTGCAAAGGGCACTATTAAAAAAAATCAAAAGACAACCCACAGAATAGGAGAAAATATTTGCAAATCAGATATCTGATGAGTCTTGCATCCAGAATATATAAAGAACTTATACAACTCAACAATAAACAACAAATAACCTAATGAAAACATGGGCAGCGGATTTGAATAAACATTTCTCCAAAGCAGACATACAAATGGCCAAAAAGCACATGAAAAGATGTTCAACATCCTAGTCACCAGGGAAATGCAAATCAAAACCACAGTAAGATACCACTCCACATACCTGCTAAGATGAATTTAATAAACACGACAGATAATAATAAATGTTTATGAGGATGTGGAGAAATTGGAAACCTCATACATTGCCAGTGGGAATATAAAATGCTGCAGTCACTTGGGAAAACAGTCTGGCAGTTCCCCAAAAGGTTAAATGGAGAATTACCATATGATCAAGAATTCCACTCCTAGGTATATACCCAAGAACTTGGGGGCAATTTGGCAAAATTGATCTCAGTTACAATTCCACATGCCCTTTGATTCACACACTATATTTTAGAAGTCTACCCTATGACTGTGCTGCATGAAGTCGTACCAGGATGTTTATTGCAGCATTATTTCCAGTAAGAAATGACCAAAAACACCTTAAATGTCCATTAAGCAGAGACTTGCATTTACTGTATTACCCAGCAATCACATTCCTGGGCATTTATTAGAGAAATTAAAATGCTAAGTCCACACAAAATTTTGTACACATATGTTCATAGCAGCGTTATTCATAAGATTTCAATTGATGGGTGATTTATATACAATGAAATGCACAAATCTCAAGTTTTACAATTCGATATGCTTTGGCAAACGCACGCACTGCTGTAACCTGCCCTTTATAAGATTTAGAACATTTCTAACACCCTAGAAAGTATCTTTTTGCCCCTTCCGGTTCATCTCTGCCACGTCACCCCACCCCTCAAATCCCAGGGCAATTATTAGTCTGATTTCTCTCATTACAGATTAGTTTTCATATAAATGGAATCACACACTATATGTTGCTTTATGTCTGGCTTCTTTCGCTCAGGCGGGAACATGTCTGAGACTCTTCTGTGTTGTAACTTGTGTCAGTAGTTTGTTTGCTAGAGTCCCATTGTATGGACACACCACGATTTGTTTATTCATTCTCCTTGCGATAGATGTTTGCATTGTTTCTCGTTTTTGTCTTTTATAAATACAGCTCCCATGAGCCTTGCCATATAAGTCTCTTTGTTAGAGATGGGTTTTCCCTTTTGGATAAAAACCTAAGAATGGGATGGCTGGATCCTACAGTAAGGCCTGTGTGTAAATTGATAAGAAATGACCAAACTGT